TCCTCCATGCACCCCGCCCACCCTAGCCACAAATTCAGTAGGTCCTTACTTATAACAATTGAACAAGTTATGCTGACTGGTATCAGATTTCCATTTCTCTATCTTCTTTCACATCAGTGGTAAAAGTACAAGACATTATCAGGCAGCCAAAGATTATCAATCTATTGTCAAGTTCCTCTTATTTCTACTCTCTACTGGAGAACAAGCCATCTTTCTACACAATCAACCTTCCAATAATGTTCCAAGAATAACAGTTTTGTTTCAGGTGTATTGTAAACTACAAAGGGCTTATTGGTGAAGTGCTGTGATATAGCTTTTGCTTTTTCCTCACTGGAAGAAAAGGTGAGGACTAACAAAGGCCATGAAAATATGAAGGAAACAGATCCAGACTGCTGCACTACAGTGACATTTCTTAGAAATGTTCAAGGCTATTCTGCTGTTAGTAGATGACAACACATAGTGAAACAGGCTTTTTATATTGGATTTGGATTCACATTTGTATTTCATTTTAATATTCTTTTAACTGTAAAGCAGGTGTCACACCATTGGAGTGAATCTATCAGACCCATGCTGCAAAGAGCGGAAGGTGAACTTTACAAGTTGTTGAGTATACCTCGGTGGAGTGATTCTGAGCTTCTGCCCCATACTTCTACAGTTGACCTTCCCGTTATCCTTAGACTAAGTGTATGAAACTGCTGTACCAGTTTCCTGTGAAGCTGTAACATCTGCTTCTGAAGAGTGTTTAGGTTAATGTGTGCACTGTTCTTTGAGAACAGAGTGGTGGTGAAGTGCTGTAGGTCAGTTTTCATTCTCAAGTCTTTGCTATTTTCCCAGCACTACCCATGTGGTGTCTTGTGGCTTGTCCTTGCTGAGTGATAGCACCAAAATCAGAACAGTAATTTTGCAAAAAAAAATAAATGGTGCCAATCCCATTCTTCCTATTATTAGCTCTCCCTCCTACAGTTTCTCAGGCTCAGTTGAGCATTTTTCTGAGTCATCTTTCGGAGAGGCAAAACTAATCATGTACATTTAAGACTAAGGAATACTTGAATAAGAAAGCTTTAACCATGATTGCAAATGGAGAAAATATATTCAGTAGTTCCCTGCATAATACCCATGAGAGGTTAAGTTGGGCTTAGCGTTTGATCAGATTTGATTTTGTATTCATGAGACAAACAAATCCCTTTTTGAGTTTCTAAACTGCTATATATACTGGGTGCGTCCACACATTCATTTAATACACATTTGGCTGTGTTAATGTGCAGTAGCGCATTTGCACACTTTTTAGTGACACAATGCACAGTAGACTATTTTACTGCATATTAGTATAGTGTCATGGTTTTTATGTGATGCTTTAATGCACAGTAAAATAGTCTCCTGAACATTAAGGTAGAGGTATAGATGTGCCCACTTAGTAACAGGTTGAAAAATAATCATAAGACACCCACATAAGAGCAATTTTCATCATATGTAATCAATCCAAAACAATAAAATGAGGAAAACCTCATTGTTATCAAGACTGCCTCTCCACAAGCAGTACCTCCCCACCCATCTGAAAAATGCACCATTCTGTGAAGGTCAGCAAATTTGGTTATTTTGAATATAGGGGCAATCAAGGTCTCCTGGGAGAGAATGCATCTACCATTCCTTGAACTATTTCTTTTAAATGGGCAAATTAAGTCACTTGGTGACTTGTTGGACTTCCTTAGGCTTTCATTTTACTTCAAGACTGGCACTCTGGGTACAAGCTATTCTTAAATTTTAACGCTGATTTTTTTTTTTAAACTCAACTGTAACCATTTCTGTGCCTCGTTTATTATTGCTAAATGACTTCCCTGTGGAACAGCTGTCTCGCAATACGAGAGATTTGGGGCTTGATCCAAAGTCCATTAGAAGTCCAATGGAAGTGTTTGACTTGGGAAATTTAATCAGGTGTTTATCCATTGTGCTCTCCCTGCGCACGATCCAAGTAAATGCTATTTCTATCATGAATCAGGCCCTTGAAATCCATTCCTGATTCTGCCACTCACTTGCCTGACTGTGAGTACGTCTCTTAGTCCTGTTTGTATGTAAATCATCTTTGTATCTTATCTTCAAGTGCTTTGAGGTTTTCACAGGGATGATGCTAAATGAACTAATATGCACATGTGTGTCTGTATACAGTGTGCAGTTGCATGTATCATTGTACCAGCTGGATTTTTTACACAGAGGCATGTCTACACATGCAATTAATGCGACTGAATGAATATACCCCAGCTCAATTTAAGACAGACTAAACTAATCCCGACATCACCATCTACACGTGTCTAAGCATTGTAAATTACTGCGCTGCCATATACCACTTGTATCTGATGGGACTCTCTGGCAGTAAATTAGTCTACTGCACCCTAATGTCATGCACATGTAGACAGTGACACTGTACTGTGCAGCAAATTAATCTGTTGCATAGTAAAGCATTTCTCCCAGGGAAACTAAGATCAGACTTATGTTAAAGTCTGATCTCCTGTATATCTCAAGTCCTTGAATGTTACAGGGTGACTATTCTGTTGAGCCCATTTGCCT